AGGAAACTGCCCAGGAAGTTGTAAAACACATCACCTGGGTCACGAGTATCTAAGTTCACAGAATAGAAATGGTTGCATTTAGGATAACAAAACAATGATACGCTTTACACACATTTTGTTGATTCCGATGATCCTGGAAATCAGTACTTACCCTGACAGGCGGGTGTATCAGACCAACCATTGTCACCACACACTATGGAGCCTACGGTGTGTCCGTCTCGGTTTTTATATCCATCCTGGCATTCATAGGCCAACCTGTCATTGACCTTAAACCACGTGCCATCACTTCTGGCTCTGGCATTCTCAAATACTGGCACACCACAAGATTCTAATGCAAAATAGAATTGAAGATTTCACTTCTAATATTATTGAATGGACAATCGAATTGCGTAAGTTCCATCCCAAGAATAACAAAGCTTTATCACTTAGCATGTGCTAATAAATTATGCATCATATACAGTATATATATATATATATTTATATATACATATATTCTTTTATACTTTTTGCTCAAATGTTCATAAACTTCGAGGTCATAAAGCAGAGAGCTGCCTCCCTGCCACGGACACTGGTTGTGTCTAGGAGCATCTCACAGTCTCCACTCACTGCACATCCCTGTAGGCTTCCTGGAGGAAGTGGCTGCTCAGAAGAGGAGCTTCCCTGCAGCGCCGAACACATAAATCACACAAGTGATATTCCCCTAACCTGTGTCCTCTGAGCGCACATTTCACTTACAAACCTAACTTTTATGTCCAGGAACTGAGACTCTGAGAGGAAAGTCTGATCACCTGCAAACAGGTAAACAGGGCAGGACCTCAGCTCAAAACGGATGAGCTTACAGCGGAATCCACACAGGCCCGTAGGCAGTTTGCAAATCGCAGGATGGTTTATGGGGGATAAACCTTGAACTGAGTGATGGACTCATGTCTACTCTACTATAATTCATTGTAAAAGAGAAAAAGAAATTACGTATGTTTTCTCACAAATTTCTTTTTTGGGTTTTTCAAATAGAACTATGTCAGCTTCCACCACCCACAAAAAAGAAATCAGTTAAAGTAAACATTTCTTCAACAGCCATTAAAATAATGGACATGACAGTCATGAATGACTTACTAATGCATCTGGGTTGAGCTGACCATCCATTCTGGAGACACGTAATATATCCGGATGTGTGACCATCTTCTGTGACATAATCTTGTTTGCACTTAAATTTTACTCTTTGATTTAAGAGATATGTAGGTTCAGGCTCAGCAATAAATCCATTCTCAATTTTTACCTTTGAATTTAAACATGTTTCTAAGAAGGAGAGCGTAAGGAAACGGTAAGCACATGGTCAAGAAACAGTTTCCTTAGAAATAAGGACTCACACACATTACAATGTAAGAAATAAGGGGCATTTGCTAATGAAAACCAGGAAATTGCTAGTCATATC